ACCATCCTCAATAGCTATGGTGTGCCCACTACAAGGGATTTGCTGGGTGTAGTGGATGACAGTAAACGTGGGTCTTAACACCAGCCGTTAAATATGAGGGTCGTGAATGGCATCCAGCATATTAGTCAACATTGGTGTCTTGGACCTTTTTATCACAAGGGAGTTCCCAGAATGTCTCTATTACTATGAACCTATAAGAGACTGGAAAAGAAAACGGAAAAACAGTCAGTGCTACTCTTTACTTTCAGGGCAGTGAACCCAGAGTTTGAAAGGAGTGTGGAATGCCTTGCAGTGTTGGGGCCACACGGCAGTCATTTGTATGTTGTTCTCCTTGTGTTATTGCCTAAGACTGACCTAGCAACATATGTGGGAACTACCTGCACATTCCCTGGGCATGCATTGGAAGATCCCACCTCTGTTCCTGTCAGCTGCAATTTTCTCTAGTAGTGAATAGAGCGTTCTGCTTTCCCTTGAGGGCACCCTGGCATGAATGAAGAAATAGCCTTCTGGGAGATCTTTATTCCTGGCAATTCTTCATGCTCTTATGCATTTCTGCTCCTGAGGTCACATCCTGGTGTTGGTACCATCTTTTGGGGCACCGCAGTAGCATAATCTGTTGAGGATCAGAAGGCTAGAGCCAGACTAATTTAAAGAAACAGGTGTACCCACAAGCAGTCATTATTGATGAAGAATGACTTGCCCACTTTTTAAACACAGCTGTTCTCTACACTGTGCAGTTTTTTCTCCTGGATGCACTTGAGCAATCTTCGGTAATGTCTTTTGATGTACCGCTTGTCTTTGTTTTAATATCAAGGAAGAACATAGATTGAAGCAATTGCCTTAGTGGCAATGTTCATAGTTATAGTGTGGAGTTATTAAATTTATAGTTATGCTGCTTTTACAGCTACACTTTGGTTGTCTTAGAGAGGCTTATAAAAATCACTGAGGAATACACACACACACACACACACAAACACACTCTCAGACTGCAAAACTTTAGCAAGAAATTAAAACATTTTAAAAACAAAATGTTTGCTAATATTTACGTGTATCTTTATAATAACTTAGTGACAGTGCCTACTAAACGAGGCAATCTTCAATTCATGTCACTACTTTCAATGACAGTAATGAAGGGGAAAAAAATCTGACATTTATGAAGAAGCCATGGTGTGCAAAAACAGGTGCCAGGTGCTTGTTGACTCCCCTATAATGCTCACCACAAGCATTTTGCTCTTCTCCAAACTTTCCTTTTTGGAAAATATATAAGAAGGAAAATAACCTGCCCAAGATCATACAACTTTAAAGCCAGAAAGATGATCTTACAGTAAGACGATGGTCTGTTCTATTAACCAATTCTCCACAAATTACAGACTGTTGCATATGGCCAAATGATTGGAGGAAGCCATTTCCTGATCTCATTCATCTCTTCTATTTATATAATGATTTCACTACCTTTAAAATGCTGTTATTTTCACCATATTAACCATACTAGTTAAATGTTGCAACAGTCCTTTGAAGGTTGTGAAGTTAGTATCCTGTGCACATGTTGTATTTTCAAGAATGGGGCTCAGAAAAGTGAAATATTTTGCCTAAAGTTCAATCCGGGCTGAGTCTGAAGCCAAGCGTTTTGTTCCTCCTATCTTCTTTTCTCAGCCACATGAGGCATAGGTTTATTTTCATGGCAAATGATTGCAATGGACTCAAGCGTAGGCAGCTATGTGGGTATTTGCCACAAGGATTCTGTGACTTAAAATGAACCGAAACAAAGCAGTTAGCCACGGGTTATAATGCTACTGTGGTCCCATGACAAATGACAAAGAGGTTGCAGTAATGAAATCTTATTATTGCAAATAAAGAGACCGCATCTGAGGTCTAGAATGCCACATTTACAACTGTGGGGAAACAAAATGAAACATCTGAGTTAGGGTCTGCACTGACTTTGACAGTATGTTAACAGGATTAAGAAGATCTTTCCAAAACAGTGATTATAATGGCACATGTGGGGTGCCCTAGATAAGGACCAAATATTTATTCTGGCAGAGATTAAATCTTTTCTTTTCCTAAATCTATGATGGATCTCCCAGAAAATCTGCCCCCAGAATATATCTTGCTCATCAAGCAACACACTGAGCCCACAATATACTTTGCCACTGCTATTGCTGAAAAGCTAGAAATGCTGGTTTAAAGGTTTCCACTTTCCACCTAAAGCTGTTCTCCATCCATGATTAATTAGTGACTCTGGGGTGAATCAAATCACCAGCAGTCCTTTCCAATGCTTCCAGAATTTATGCAGTGGTTTCTCATTGAAGAATGGTGGTGCAGTAAAAGCCCACCCTCACGGGGTGTGGAGGAGTAATGAATTCTGCAGTGGTGTTTCGGTTTCTGAACTCCTCCAGTACTTTCATTCTGCCAAACAGGTTATGACTCCAGCTATTGTGGTCGTGCTTACTTAAGCCTGCTAGTAACTTGCTGCCATCACACATACACATATGTGGACATCCTTTCAATTAGTGAATATCCTCTAAGAGAAAACAGAGAAATCATATTGTGATTTGGGAATTCCATGAGAATCCAAGAGAAAGAATAAACTGACAACATTATAATGAAGAGAATGAAATGTCTGAGAGAATATATAATCCGATTCATTTTCCACACATCAAATTTTATTTTTAAATACCTTTAAAGATTTGTTTGTTTGCCAGAAAAGTAGAGCAACAGGGAGTAAAGAGAGGAGAAAGAGAGACTCCAATCTTCAGTCCCCTTGTTCACGCCTCCAGTGATCACAATAGTTAGACCAGAACCAGGTCAAAACCAGAAGGTAGGAATGCCTTCTGTGTATCCTACATGGGTGAGCCATGGATAATAGGGCCGTCACATACTCCCTTCACAGTTTCATATACAGCAAGCTGCATTGGAAGGGGAATAGGTGAAATTTGAATTGAACTTCAAGATGGAATGAAGCTTAACGTCCTGTGCCATGATGCCCTACCCTGTGCACTCTATTTGGGTACTAGGTACATTGCTTAATATGGAGATAAAGAAAGTCAGCAGAACTGAGACATAATGCCACAATAAGCAGAGGTATGGGGAGTCAGCAGTATGGAGGTGGCATTTGGTGAACCAGTTAAGATACTTACAATCCATGGATGCTTACAATCCATGTCAGAGTTCCCTGGGCAGCTCTGCTTCTGAGTAAAGCATTCTGATGCTCACCTTGATAGACAGCAGCTTGTGTCTCAAGTCATTGGTTCCTGCCACTCAACTGGGGGACCTGGATTGAGCTGCTGGCTCCTGGCTCAGTTCAACCCAGTCCCTGACATTGTGACTATTTGAGGAATGAATTAAAGGGTGAGAGCACTCTCTCTCTCTCTCTCTCTCTCTCTCTCTCTCCCTCTCTCCCTCTCTCCCTGTCAAATAAAAAGCAAATAAAATAAAAATATATATAAACAAGAATATGTGGTCATTGTGTGTTAGGAAGTATTCCAATCATTTTCCTAACAGAGTGGAGCATAGAAATTACAGAGCTCCTATTGTGTTGCATACTACAATAGCAGAGTACAAAATCAAGTTTTTTTCCACCCTCCTCTGTATCTTTGAATGATGCTTGTGGACTTCGTTGGCTAAGACTCTTCCAACTTTACGACTGCTGGTTGTTATGAATTATTTTATTGCTACAAGCTACATTTGCATACTATGGCACAAATGAAAAAATTGAGAAAATTTTGTCTTTTGAGAGAGTAAGTGAAACATATTAAACTAATGGAAACTATTGCCCATCCCACCAGAAATCTTAATTTGTTGACTTTAAGCATAATTTATACTTAAGTACTTTATTTGTGTGTAAATAAAGAAATGAATTAAACTACTAAATAGGAGATTCTGTAAAACATTTTCTAAAATTTATGTAAATTTTTGGCTTCTCTAGGCATATTTTTCTTCTCTTTCTCATCTCCCCTGTTTTATACTTTTATTTTCTACTTCTTGAATAAAAAGTAGAGAATAAAAATGATAGTGAACAAAATTTATGACTCAGCATTCTAAAACATCAGAATTACAAGTTAATTATTCATGATTTTCCAGTATATGTCGCCAATAAACCAAACAACTAAAAAAAAAAAATAGAGAAAGATGTCTCCTTTCTCTTCTTGTCTGTGTCTCCAGAAACCCAGTAGTAGTACTTCTGTTGTTGGACCTCACTGTGAATACAAATTTTGATTGTTAGTCATAACCAAATATTAGAAGAGTGAAATGTTTAGGATCAGTATTATTATTTATGGTCCAGCAATCCTGGGTGTTTATCACAAAGTGAGTGTTACCCTCACCATTGTAGTCATCATATCCATAGTGAAGGTGTTAGGAATCTATTGCAATTGTGGCCACTCCTTAGCATGTTGTAATGAATAGCACTTCTCACTTTGGATTAGCCTAAGTGCTAGCAAACTCCAGTTCAGATTACCTGGCTTCCACTCAGGATACCTATTCTATGTGCTTTAGATCTCCAGCAAGTTTAATCAGGATTCTCTAACGCCAGCTCCGCATCATTCTTTACCACTCCCCCTTGCTTTGCTTTGCACCAAAATGTTGAGGGAGGTTCAGTCTCCCTGTTTGATCCCAAATCTGAATTGTGAATAGATTTCAGAAACAATGTCTTATTTGTTCCTTTTAGGAAAGAGATCTAATCCATCTCATAGAAATGAACTTTGCAGTGTCATTGCTTCTGTTACGTAGTTCTATTATTCCAGACTTGGTATCCGTTGAGGGCAATTGAATGCTGTAACCTGTGCAGTGCAGCCTGTGAGAGCAATTTGGGTGTCTTTATACCATTGGTTTTTATGTTCAGGATGAAAGCCCATGGAGAAATATAGGATGCTATTATTAACTTCATGCTGACAGCTCCCTCTGGGCACCTGCAGGTTTATTGCTAGTTGGAGGATCAAATTTAAAGGGGAGAACCTTGTGCCTGGTGATAACTATGTCTTTTTTGTGCTCTCTTATTACAGGAACAGGGGAAAATCGGAGTTGTCTTCAATATTGGCACAGTTGATATCTCCATCAAAGAAGAGAGAACCCCCGTAAATGATGGCAAATACCACGTGGTCCGCTTCACCAGAAACGGTGGCAACGCCACGCTCCAGGTGGACAACTGGCCGGTGAATGAGCATTACCCCACAGGTACCTGCTGTGCCCTCAGTGCACATATTCTCAGTCACTGTCTCATTCTCACTTCCAAATGACAGTTTTGCCATGACTGTCACCAAACCATGAAACTATAAGACAACACACATCAATGATTTTGAGAATAGTCACTTTTTTTCAGACATGGTTATTTTAGGGAACTTCTGGAGACTTTTAAACTATGCACTGCAAATGTTTTGTCCTACTTTGACTGAGATGGCCTGACTGGCTCATACCAGAGATGTATGCAGTAAGCTCTTCAGGGTACTGGAGATGCTGAACTATGGAGAAATGGGGCAGCATCTCTAATGAGCACTGTTGTGGAGAATTAGTTCAAGGTCTAGACTTTGTGCTGCCACTCAGTCAGATATGGTTGAAGATACAGAAATCGAGAGAGGAGGCTTATTATGTGAACAAATCAACACCAAGCAGGACAGGCAGGAGAAGGTTGAGTGGGTATCACTCGCTTGTTGACTTGCCTTATTTTCTTTTCCCTCACTTATATGAAGGCTACCTTGATTCTCAGAGATTGTGCCCAGTCATCATTTTACTAGCAAGCATGCTGGTGTGGGAAAGAGATGGGGTTAATCATCCATTCAAACTTTATAGTCTGGGAGCCATCACCGACAATCTTCCGGATCCAGAGAGCTGAATGAAGGGCAAAGGGAAAAAAAAAGTCGCCTTCTTTAAAAAGAGATCATTCAATAATCCCTTCGCTTTCTTTCTCATTTCTCACTTTCTCAGGAACAGGCTTGAAAACGTTGAATGTCTTACAATCTGGGATTGTGTTATCATGCCTAACTTGAAAATCAATTTTCTTGAAAAGCCAATCAGAATTCTTTGTGCTGCTTCTTGTTTGCCCCAAAACTGGTATAAGAATTTGGGGGATACCCATATATACCATGTAAATTCCTACAGAATTAAGGTAAAAAAATGCCCATTTATTAATATGCTATTTATTACTAAAAATAAACAAACCAAGGAGCAAAATGGAAATCTAGGAAGCTTAGCCGTTATTGGGGATGTTGTACTTTTCTTGTTTTTGAACTGGAGCACAAAATATCGTGATGTGTTTCAAGAAAGCCAGTTGGAGCAGCTGCCATGAGATCTTACTAGCCCTTCAATTCTCTAAATGTTAATGGATCTGATTTTTATGTGCTTCTTATGTAAGTTGTGAAGTACAGGGACAGGGGAATGGTAAGAGAATCTAAAGTATTCCAAGAACTTAAAAGTTGCTCATTTGCTCATAGGAAAAAAAAATTAATCTCCTTCTCATTGACCCTGCCACTGCTGCTAGAAAGGTTGTTGTGTTTCTATTTGGAGTTTCAAAGATTTCTAACTTAATATTAATCATGTGTCATAATTCAAAAGAGAATGCATGATTTTGCTTCCATCAATGAGAAACTTCCTAAATGGTCACCTGAAAGTCACAAATACGTAAGAAAACTAGTAATTGTGCATCTGTCTCTTTGTGCCTTTAGTTCCAAATTATGGGTTGCTTCCTATATATTTTCAAAATGGGTAAGCCTTCCTTTAATGGCATTGCTTCCTCCTGAACACTACTATTGTTGTTGCTAGCTGTTATCTACTACTAACAGTAATGTATGGTATTATTCCAGGACAGGATACAGGATAGCAGTTGTTAAGATGGGGCTTGGAGGCAAACAATTGGTGTTGGGATCTTGACTTTGTTAGATCTGAGTCTAAGGCAAGATGTTGAAAAGCCCCTAAGCACTGAATTCATATTACCTTTGTTAATGTGTAATTCAAAATTACACACTAAGACATGCTATCAGTCTAAGACCCCCCATCTGTTCTCAGATGGTTGCTAGTATGTTTTAAAATATTGAAGGTTCTTTCTTCCTATAATCTCATTTTGATTATGCTTCTTGGTCCTGTAGGTAGGAGCTTATTGTTCCTGTTTAGTCACTGAGTTGCAAACTAAGCACAAGTTTCAAACCTCCTTAAACTTCTGTTTCTTAGTCTGAAAAGTAGATTAGTTGTAATACTACATAATGATGAAATGAGTTGAATACATGTGACATGATGGTGGGTTAATAGTTAATAAATGTTAGCTGTGGGGATTAGTAAGCAATTGAAAAGCATTTTAAATGGTGGTATTATCCACTTGCACATGATCATTAGGACACTTTGAAAAGGTTTAATTTTTTTTAAAATCACAACATCAAAATGTGTCCTTTATCCTGGTTATCAAACAACAAGGGCAACAGATTTGCCTGGTAATCTTGATACTGTTTCTGCAAAAATGACATAGGCTCTTTTTTTCCAGGCCATCCTCTTTTGATGATAATTTTAAGTTCAGCTCAGTTTTGGTCTTCGTTGGTACTTACATTTAACTAATAAAACACCATAGAGGAATACTGATATCACTTTAAAAGCATGTTCTCAGGAAATCATTCCTATATATGTCAGGTCAAAATGGACAAACTGGGTGCCAGGATGAATTGGTCAGCTCCAGAATCTACTCATGAGCATGGATAGGATTTTATGGAGCTCTACAGAAACACCCCACTGTGAACTATTTAGAATGTAGCTCAGTGCATTGCCTCTTTTTGAATCAGGAAGGACCCCAATGAAAACAGTTCTATAGTTATCAGGATCTTATATCACTTAATTCTAGGAGATAGATCTCAAAAGCAACTTCTTCCTTTGAACCTGAAAATAGAAAGGCTAAGAAACAGGAAAGGGAAATAAAAGCAGCATCTGGCCAGAGCTGACATCCAGGCATTGACAAATGGTCGCTCTGAAGCTTCTGACTGCCGTCTCCATACAATGCAGCAGTGCTGAGGACAAAGAAGGGGAGGCGAGAGGTGAGCCGAGCATGGGAAATTAATTTTAGCCTCAGTTCTAGGATCCTGGGGAAGCTGAGCTGACTGGGATTGTTCAAGATCCCTCTCTGGCTGAGTGGGTGGCCTGCTCTGTGGTCCAGGCTATCCTAAGCATCCTCAGTAAGGATTTTCAGGCCAGAGCTGGGCTTTCTGGGACATGAAGCCTGGCTAAAGCATTTCAGTGTATAGGGCCTTCCATCTCCCACCCCAGGGACTGTTGAGGAGAGCAGGATGGTGATCACTGTTGCTTTTTCCCCCTTGGTAATCCAGATCATCGCAGATGAAGTGCTTTTAGCTGAATTCCACTTCATCAGTCAATAAAATGGCCACCAATGACCTATATTTAAGTTCTGTTTTTAACCTCTTGTTGTCTGTTTCCTATTGCTCTAATGGAATAATATAATGCCTTTGTCATTATAGAGACTGGAGAAAAAAAATTGTAAGATGCCTACTGGTGTTCCAGGGGTCATGAGCAGTAATGCATTTGAAGCTTCTCAGCTCTGTGAAGGGTTGGCTTTGGTGTGATTGCTGCTGCATACGTGTCCTAAGATGACACATGATGCTGAGATACTAAACAACTTGCTGAGTGTCACACGGCTTATACGACACCACCGCCAAGGCCTGTCTCATCCTGATTCCGACTGTGTGACCCTGAGCTTTTATCCATTTTCCTATTCCTCAGCATTGTGAGTTCTTTGGTAGAGACACTATCCCCACCCCCTGAAACAGAGTTCTCAAATAACATCCCTTCCTGGGAGAGTTGTTGGTAGAACATTGGCACTGTGGTCATTCTGGGCTTATGGTTCTTTGGTCTGTGTATGTGTGTGTGTGAGTGAAGAGGAAAGGCAGGTGGGCTTTCTTGAACATTGCAGAATGCTTGGTAATATCCATGACGTCCATCTGCTAGGTACCAGAGCGTGTTTACATAAGTGTCAAATGTCTTCTACCTTTGTGAGAGTTATAAACTGTTTTGTTTCATAAGTTTATTTTCCTTTAGTACTTTGAATTGTGTATACAGAAATAAGAACTCTATTGTTGAGTACATGCCTTCCTAGGTTGTTGAGACTTTGAAGAGTTAAAAAAGAACTCAATGTTGCTTGACTTGGTGCCGAAGTTTCTCAGGCCTTTTGTTTTCATTAATTCCTAGCCAGGAGGTGTTCTTTCTTTACTTCCCATCTTTGCCTGCAAACATTTGAGGCTTTGCCAGACTTGAAACACAGAATTAAACAAGCCCCATCTACCTGCTCATTCATCCATTCAGGACCAGTGTTGCTTTCAATTCCACAGCAGAAAAACATAGATAGTGAAGACCTGCATAGGGAATTAGTGTTAATACAGTCGGGATGGAAAACCATACTTGAACTTGGTTTCTAGATTGCAGAGTTGCAACAGCCGCCTGAGCTCACTGAATGAATGTGTTTGAACATTGATGGGTACACATTAAAGCTATCTTGAAATAAGTTCTTCAAACACTGTCGCAAAATGTACCAATTAATACATCTAGTGCATTCTGAATGTTTGTATCCTAGTCATTCTTTCCAATTTGTCAGAACTGAATTAACATTCACAAGTAGGTAAATTTTTTTTGCAAGTGGCTTTAAACTTGCCATCATTAATCTTTGGTAGGAAAAAAAAAATCGTTTCCAGTAGATTTTTTTTTTATTGTATAGCAAAATTGCTCAATCTAGCTGCCAATGACAACCTTCTCAGAACTTAATAAACTGCTATGGGTTGGGTCATATTATCAGGTTAGCCAAATTAACTGGACTTGGTTGCGAGCCATAACCTAGCATCACGCACCATGCCATGCCTTGAAAGAAGTTGAAACACGCAGTCACATTTTCATCCCAGGACTTAGGAATCAGAATCTGCTCTTTAAAAAGATCACCAAGTAATATATGTTTAGGCAATAAAAGTTAAGCAGCACTGACCCAAGAATCAGTATTTAAAAAAAAAAAAACCTCTCAAAGTGACTCTACATTTGTGCACCTGGATTTGAAAGTCAATATATTCAGAACGCTAAAAATGTCATTTTTTTCTTCTTTCAGATTACATATTCATGTGTGTACAATATGGTAGGCACCATTACCATGCAGATAGGGAATATTCCTGGGTGGCTGGTATGCCTCCGAGTTGTGAAATTTTGCT